GAATAAGAAATACCAGTTTGGGACACAGTGTGTGTTTTATGCATTCACTTCATGCAACTATTTGTCTTTTTTCTCTTTTTTGGGGGGGTATTCATATGCCAAGATAACACAGAGAAAATGTGTTTCAGCCATTATTAACATTATTATTCTTTTTTACAAGACTGGAACATTTAGTTGTAATCACAGCGCGATCCAATTTCTTGTCAAAATTCATGATTATGTAGAAAACAAATTCATTTTGCTCTTTGGCTGGAGTAAAGAACTGTATCCAAGATCTGAAGAGTGTTTGTTTTAAAGGAATATAATTTTAAAAAGCAAAGCATGTTTGCCAGTTGGATCTGTCTGTAGTTTTGGTCTTCTCAGCCTGAAGAATTTAGGCTAAATTCTTTAACATCAGGAATGAGGGAAGTTTTTTTGTTTTTGTTTTTTGGCCAGTTAATTTACTTAACTTGCACTTCTTGAATCAATATACAAACCAAATGCTTTTAACTCCCATGGTTCTCTGAATTTTGTGGTGCGTTTTTTTTTCTGATTTAAAAAGGGGCCAATAATGTGCAAATTATAGAGAATGTGCACAATAAGGCATGAAAAAAACAACCACCCCTTTATGTGATGGAGAAAAATTGCTTGTTAAAGAATGTCGGGTCAAATTGGCTTACAAAGAAAAAAAAAGAATTTGTGTGTTCTAAGAAATGCTTACAAAAAGATGTATATAGTTTGTGATGGCTTCATGAAAACATTGGAAACTAGCAGGAGTGGAACAGAGAATAAAATCGGTAGAAACGGTAGAAACATTTTTTGCTTATAAACTCAAACAAAATACTGAGCAGCTGGGTTATTCTTCCTTCTGATATAGAGGTATATCATGTAGTGATATGTGTATATACACACATAGACACACAATTTCAGCCTTAAACTGGATTTGGAGTGAGCAGTGCTTTAAATCAAAGGTGGTTTCAATTAGGAAATAGAAAAACAGGAACAGGGACAGTAGGACTCTCAAATGTGTGGGGTCTTGGTACCCTCTGAGTCTGGTTGTTTGCTTACATGCGTTTCATAACCCAGCTAGGTAACGTCATCAGTGCACTTGTCTATAAACAAAGTGCAGATGCCACCTCCTTCTAGCACTTGAAGATGTTACCTAGTTGGGTCATGAAATTTCTGCAAGAAAACAACCAAACTCAGAGAGCACCAAGGACTCCACAGTTCAACCCTGAACTATACGTATTCCCTTCTATCGGTACTATCAAATCTGCACTGCAAAATTCTAGGTGACCAGCAGAGAGATATTATACAGAAAAGCCATAAGTCTTTCTACCATCTAGTGGTCATCCACATATTTTCAGCCCCAAATTGGTAGCCCCAGGACAGGGGTAGGCAACCTTGGCTCTTTTATGACTCGTGGACTTCAACTCCCAGAATTCCTGAGCCAGCATGGCTCAGCTTGGAAACCTCTCCCTTTCCCCTCAGCATGGCTGGCTCAGGAATTCTGGGAGTTGAAGTCCATCAGTCACAAAAGAGCCAAGGTGGCCTACCCTTGCCCTAGGAAGAAACCCCTTTGAAAACGCCACCTTAGCAAACTGCATGGATTTGTTCACCTGGTCACCAGGAGTCAATTCTGACTTGAAGGCCCCTCCCCCACAAAGGGAATGAAAGAGGGAGCCAGGAATCACAATCGGCATCAGGCAAAGTGAATTCTGTTGCAACAGCGTTTATTCCAGAGTGTGATTGCAACATTTGTCTCTGCTCATCTCACCTCCGTCTTTGAAGAAACCGCTCCGGTGAGTTTCCCTAGGGCAGACATGTCAAACACAAGGCCCGGGGGCCGGATGCGGTCTGCAAAGGCATCCTGGAAACAGTGAGGGAACGGCCCCCACTGCCTTGGCCCTGGCCCACGTCGGCCGGGAGCCAATGTACAATTTTGTGGTGGCCATCTATGCTGAAACGCATTCAGTCTTAGCTCCACAAGGCCGTCTGGAAACAGCGAGGAACCAGCCCCTGCCGCGTCAGCCCCACCCCCTGGGTGCATGCTGGGGAGGGGTCACCCTTTGTGAGGAATGAAGAAATGCACCATCGCCTGGAAGTGGCCAGCAAATGGCCCTCGCCTACTTCACATATCTGGCTTGATGGGCTCCGGCGGAGGGGTTTCGGCAGGCAGTGAGGCCCCTCCATGGACCATGCCTTGGCACTTGCCCCGTCCCACCCCCTTCTGCCGGAGACCCTCAGATCTGTCCCACCCCTGCCCAGGCCCCCACAGGCACCCTTGATGCAAATGATGTAGAGCTGGCCATGCCCACCCAATAGGCCATACCATCCACGCCCAGCCAGTAGGCCACACCCACCCTGGCCACACACACCCTCCTGAGGGCAACCGCAATGCTGATGCAGCCCTCAATGAAATTGAGTTTGACACCCCTGCCCTAGGGGAATGGAAGACATTCTGGAAGAGGCGGTAAGCAGGAACCGTTGTTTGGTGACAGGAATCCAAGAGCCCTTCAAGGGATCTGTGGCTTCCCAGAGTCTACCTGGCCAGCTACAGTTTGTTGTGCTGGAGGATTCGAGAGCTGATGAGGGACCCAGGAAGGAAGCAGTGATACAATGAAAGACCAATGTGTGCTTGGGATAGACTCACATCAAACTAGATATAGATGGCAGAGAGTCTGTCTGTCAGTCTGTCCGTCCATCCATCCATCCATCCATCCATCCATCCATCCATCCACCATCTTACCCTGTGATAATATGGGTAGCCAATAAAATTTACAAACAAACAAACAAATGAACATTATCTATCTATCTATCTATCTATCTATCTATCTATCTATCTATCTATCTATCTATCTATCTATCTATCCATCCATCCATCCATCCATCCATCCATCCATCTCCATCCATTTATCCACCCATTTCTCTCCCTCCTTCCTTCCCTCCGTATGTATGTATGTATGTATGTATGTATGTATGTATGTATGTATCCCTAACCCTAACCATCCACCATCCAGCATGCCTGGCTGAGGAATTCTGGGAGTTGAAGTCCACAAGTCATAAAAGGGCCAAGTTTGAAGACCCCTGTCATAGACAGACATGACTTTGATAGTGTTTTCATGGCCATCATTATAATTTTTTTGATTGCAGACACACCTGTTCTTATTAAGTGCTCTGAGATACCTGGCTAAGTGTACCTTAAAGAGTCTCAAAGTGTCCCATTAGGTGAGACAGGCAAGACGTTGGTGGGAGAGTCTTCTTACTAGTACTGCCTCAGGATTGAATTTTTCACACGGTCGCTGCTGGCTTTGTTCTGAGGCTGCTTTGCCTTGCTTTTAATCTTGTATTCATTTCATAATCTTATATTGTATTTTGCAAGTAGCGTTCAAGCATTCTGAATATAAATAAATAGATATTCTCTCTCTCTCTCTCCTTTAAATGCATCCTAGTTGTTAGCCCAATGCTACAGCTTGGCTTAGCAAATTCCATAAAGATATTGGGTAAGGATCAGTCTTGCATCTGCATCTAATCAGGTGTGGGATAATCCTATATTCTAATAGTATGGGAAAAGGAAAGGAAAAATGCAACCTGTCAATCTTAACCTTGTTTGTTTCTTTCTTTCTGCCATAATCTCATATTCTTATATTCCCACAACACATTTAATTACTAACTACTCAAGTATTTTTTTAGGATATGGGGTACAGGGAGTCCTCGACTTATAACCATAGCAGAATTTCTGTTGCAAAGCAGGAGAGCTGTCAAGTTAAGTGTAAGGTGTGCCCAATTTTACATTTTTGCTATGGTTGTTAAGTGAATCACTGCGTTGTTAAATGAATCGTGCAGTTATTAAGGAAAACCTGCTTTTCCCATTGACTTTGCTTGTTGGAAGCTACTGGGAAGGTTGCAAATGGCGTTCACGTGACCCTGGGATCCTGCAATCATCATAAATACATGTCAGTTAACCAAGTGCAATAATCGTAAGTGGGAGGGCTGATTGTAATGCCATTGTAACTTCAAACAATTGTTAAATGAATGGCTGTAAGCTGAGGACTACTTGTATTCCAGTATTGATTTCTTAAGCTTTACAAACTCAATAGCCATCTGCCTGTTAATATTCCTCAAAAAGGAGGGAAATAGCTCCAGATTTGATGGAGATCTCTACAAGGAGAAATCTATCCATATTTGAGATGTCTATCCAGAAATATATTTGTACACATGAAAGTCATTTGTTGCAGGGGGAAAAATAATATGGTCAACTGACGTGATGAGTACAAACTGTATTTATTTGTAGGAGTCTTCAAAGGTCTTTGCTGTTATGTTCAATTTCTTAGCGAATGCAATTTTCCACGCGTTCAAAGTGGGATGTAGTTTTGCAACAGTATGTCTGGCAGCTAGCAATAGGAAGCGAACACAATGTATTAATCTTTTTTTTAAATCTTTTGTGAACCAAAAAACCCCCCAAGATGGCTCTGATTGTTGAGTGATCATAGACTCACTCATGGGAAGGAAGTCTCTAGGTCAGCGTTTCTGAAGCTTGGCAATTTGAAGACGCAGGGATTTTAATTCCCCTACGTTGGCTGGGGAATACTGGGAGCTGAAGTCCAGACATCTTCAAGCTGTCAAGGTTGAGGAAACACAACTCTAGGCTCCAGGTCCAACATACTTCTCAGGGCAGGAATTCAGACAAAAGGATCCCAAACAGAGGGGCCATTTAGCCTGGACACATTCAGGAGAATGGCAGTCACTGTCACAGCCATTATTAGAGATGCAATCCTATCAAATCCTCATCCTGTAGTCAATTGGACAAATTGAGCTTTGGGCTTAAAACAGAGCAACCCAGAAATGAGAGAAGAGCAGGGGAAATTAGGAGCAAAGGTTGGCTTCCAGCATCACCTAATTCAGGGGTCTTCAAACCTGGCCCTTTTATGACTTGTGGACTTCAACTCCCAGAATTCCTCAGCCAGGCAGGCCTGCCTGGCTGAGGAATTCTGGGAGTTGAAGTCCACAAGTCATAAAAGGGCCAGGTTTGAAAACCCCTGACCTAATTTCTACAGGGTCTCCCTGTACCGGATGTTTCTCTTTCTCGGAAACAAAGAAGGAGATCTATTTGGGCAAAAGTAGATCTAAAGAAAAGGGAATTCTTGACCCGAGATCAATCTTGTAAACAAGAAGACCTGCCTGTATGAAAACCCCCCTGGGCACAATGTGCCTGCCTCTTTAGTGCCGTGCTGCAATTATAGATCTCGTTGGAGCAGATCCATATTCCCATAGCACAAATTGATACTTAGACTGAGTCGGCGAGAATTTAACACAATCTGTTTAGCACTGGAGCGATTGAAATGGGAGGCCAAGGCTGGCTGGCAAAACCCTTATTTTTCTGCAAGAATCCACGTCTGGTTACCTTCTTGCCTCTGTAAAATGCAGACCCTGGTTCCCTGAGTCTTCCCAGGAACTGAGGGCATGCATCCTTGTCTCTACAGTGTAGGCAGGGCAATGCTTCTCAACCTTGGCCATTTTAAGAAGTATGGACTCCAAGGATTCCCCAGCTAGCATGCTTCTTAGCACTTGTCTGGGGGCTGCTGTCCCCTAACTTAACTTGGTGTCGTGTCTATGGAGATTCTCAGTCATCCAGGTCATGGTTGTCTCAAAGGCATTTTTTTTGAAAGGCAGAAGGACTTTATTTGTTTTTCCCTGAAGACGTTTCGCCTTTTAATAATAATAATAATAATAATAATAATAATAATAATAATAATAATAATAATAATAATAATAGTAAAGTTGGAAGGGACCTTGGAGGTCATCTAGTCCAGCCCCCTGCTCAGGCAGGAAACCCTATACCATTTCGGACAAATGGCTGTCCAGTCTCTTCTTAAAAACTTCCAGTGTTGGAGCATTCACCGCTTCTGGAGGCAGATTGTTCCACTGGTTAATTGTTCTCACTGTCAGGAAGTTTCTCCTTAGTTCTAGGTTGCTTCTCTCCTTGGTTAGTTTCCACCCGTTGCTTCTTGTCCTGCCTTCAGGCACCTTGGAGAATAGCTTGACTCCCTCTTCTTTGGGGCAGCCCCTGAGATATTGGAAGACTGCTATCATGTCCCCCCTCGTTCTTCTCTTCGTTAAACTAGACATACCTAATTCCATCAACCGTTCCTTATATGTTTTAGCCTCCAGTCTCCTAATCATCTTTGTTGCTCTCCTCTGTACTCTTTCTAGAGTCTCAACATCTTTTTTACACCGTGGTGACCAAAACTGGATGCAGTATTCCAAATGTGGCCTTACCAAGGCATTGTAGAGTGGTATTAACATTTCACGTGATCTTGATCCTATCCCTCTGTTAATGCAGCCCAGCATTGTGTTGGCCTTTTTGGCAGCTGCAGCACATGGCTGGCTCATATTTAAGTGATTGTCCACTAGGACTCCGAAGTCCCTCTCACAGTTACTACTATTGAGCAAGGTGCCACCTATGCTGTACTTGTGCATTTGGTTTTTCTTGCCTAAATGTAGAACCTTACTTTTTTCACCATTGAATTTCTTGTCCAAGAAGCTTCATTGATTATGAGAGGATGGTGTTGGTGGTGAGGGGGATGGAAGGTTTAGTGTTGACAGTGTCCTGCACTTTTTAAATTTGGTGTCCTGTACTCGTAAGATGATGCCAAAAAGCTTCCGATCTTTCATAGGATACTTCTTCGGGTACTTGACATTTCTCCAGAGTAAAAACTCCAAATTCCTTAAATTGCTTCTTGTAAAATCAGTGTCCAGTCCTAATGCTCACAATTTGCTCCAGTTCATTTACATCATTCTTAAAATATAGTGTCACAACATGACAGTGGAGGCTGCGCTGATCAATGCAAATAGAATGGAACTGTATTTGGCTGGTCAGCAGAAGTGTTTAATTTCTTCAAAAATTGTCCACCCAAATGAATCACGAATGGGGCCTTGACGTCACGTATGCTAAGCATTTGCTTATAATTCCTCCAACACACGTTGGATGAGGAACCATTGATATAATGCAATTTTAGATATCATGGGAAACACACATTGGAAAACACACTCAGCAATTGCTGGAGTACCCAATTCACATGTAATTTTCACACTGACTTCGCCTTGTTACTCAAAGTGCTCCAAATGGGGGGGGGGATGTTTGAATTAGAGTGCCACAAGTACCCAAAACTAAGTCAAACTTTATATGAGATGACATTGTCACATCTATTTATATAACTCAGAGATTTATATACCATCTTTCCAAGTGACTTGTTTCCCCAGTAGATGGGTGGCATTCAAATGAAGAAGGACACGGAAACTCGTGTGATGACTTACTGTCTTAATCTCCAGCGTGCTTCCCTTGAATAACTTAGTCCGAATAGTATCCCAGAATAAGGAGCAGATTAAAACGGCATTGATTTGAGGAATCTCCGTTCCTTGTTAATTAAAAAATAATTTTAATTCAGAGTTTCAATTTTTTTTTTTAAAAAAAGTTTTTTTTAATGCTAAATAAGAAGCCCTTGCTTGAAATATGAAACAAGTAGCAAGCCCACGGTGGTGTTGGTTCCTCGTCACAACAATGCTGCAGTGATGAAGTGTGTGTGACCACGCACATTTTTTTCATCTGTTGCCTCCTCTCATATCCTGCTGCAGACACCATAATATCATCCTTGGAATTTCAGACTTTATTTGATTTTTATTGTTTTAGCTCCTGGCCATTTCAGGATTTTCCACATTTTGCAAGTGTGAACTGACTTTCTCCATAGGATGTAGTCCCTGGAAAATTTTCTTGGGAGAAGCTTGAATCACGTTCCTATCATCCCACTTACGAGTGTCAAGAGCACCCATGGGAGGAGCCAGTGTCAAAAAAATCAAGATGGCGGCTGCAGCTGCTTCACTGAAGCCCTGCTCCATTTTATACACAACAGATGTAAAAAAGCACGAGGGATTCTCTCACGCAGCTGCAGTTGCCTTTCTCACTATTTTGAGCTGCTTGCAGCTTCCCATTCCACCATAATGTGCTTTTCATTTGTTTGTTTTGGCTTAATATATTGTGTAAACTCAGACACAGCAGTTTGTGAAACTGGGTTTTATGACTTAGTGCAAGGGTGTCCAACCTTGGCAGCTTTACGACTTGTGGATTTCACTTCCCAGAATTCATGGGAATTCTTCCCAGAATTCTCATGGCTGGCTGGGGAATTCTGGGAGTTAAAGTCCACAAGTTTTAAAGTTGCCAAGTTTGGATACCTCTGACTTAGTGTGAATCATAAAGAAAACATGTCCTAATGCGGTGTTTTTCAAAGTTGTCAATTTAAAGATATGTGGGTTTCCACCGGCTGAGGAATTCTGGGACTGGAAGACCCACACATTTTAAAGGTGCCAAGTTTGAAAAACAGCATCCTACTTCAACGTGTGAAGCAAATCTCCAAATCTTTTAAAGTCTAAAAATGCCTTCCTCTCAACATTATGCCTGGCTCCCTATAAATAGGTGTTAAAATGTAAATTCAGAAGGATCTGAAAGTAGTAAGTGCAACTTATGGACCCACAAAACATCAGCATTTCAAAGTCACCTTGGGCTCCAATCCCTATGTAACCAGTTCCCATTTGCCAGAAAATAAGAGTTTTTTCTCAAATTAATAATAATAATGATGATGATAAAGTTGGAAGGGACCTTGGAGGTCATCTAGTCCAACCCCCTGCTCAGGCAGGAAACCCTATACCATTTCGGATAAATGGCTGTCCAGTCTCTTCTTAAAAACTTCCAGTGTTGGCGCATTCACCGCTTCTGGAGGCAGGTTGTTCCATTGTTTAATTGTTCTAACTGTCAGGAAGTTTCTCCTTAGTTCTAGATTGCTTCTCTCTTTGGTTAGTTTCCACCCGTTGCTCCTTGTCCTGCCTTCAGGCGCTTTGGAAAATAGCTTGACTCCCTCTTCTTTGTGGCAGCCCCTGAGATACTGGAAGACTGCTATCCTGTCCCCCCTCGTCCTTCTCTTCGTTAAACTAGACATACCCAATTCCAGCAACCGTTCCTTATATGTTTTAGCCTCCAGTCCCCTGATCATCTTTGTTGCTCTTCTCTGTACTCTTTCTAGAGTCTCAGCATCTTTCTTACATCGTGGTGACCAAAACTGGATGCAGTATTCCAAGTATGGCCTTACCAAGGCATTGTAAAGTGGTATTAACACTTCACGTGATCTTGAGTCTATCCCTCTGTTAATGCAGCCCAGCACTGTGTTGGCTTTTTTGGCAGCTGCAGCACACGGCTGGCTCATATTTAAATGATTGTCCACTAGGACTCCGAGATCCCTCTCACAGTTACTACTATTGAGCAAGGTACCCCCTATACTATACCTGTATATTTGGTTTTTCTTGCCTAAATGTAGAACCTTACTTTTTTCACCATTGAATTTCATTTTGTTAGATAGCGCCCAGTGTTCCAGTCTGTCCAGATCCTCCTGTATCCTAAGCCTGTCTTCTGAGAGAGAACGGCTGATGGGGAGCTACTTGCCATGATGTTTCCCTTCAAAAATCCAACATTTTATAAAAAAATAATGTCATGCAACTGCCCCCCCCCCTTTTCAGGCAGACTCTTCTGCTTTTCCTCTGTGTAAAAATACCTAATCAGCAAAACAAAAGAAACTTGAAAGGGAGTTTTCTGCCTCAGGGGCCAGGCTTAAATTGCAACCCCCCTCTTTTTAATATGATGTTTATAATGCTTAATTAAGGCGAATAGAGGAAGCCAGGAATGCGTGTGTGTCTTTTGGGGTGTGCATGTGTACACAAGATAAAGTTTTTCTGGGCAATGTGGAGAGATTTGAACGCTTCCTTCTCCCTTTTCCCTTGCCTCCCAGGCACTTAGAGTCTCGCTTCTACCTACTTTGTTATAACTTGTCTAATTAGAGGTGTGTAAATGTTCACAAATCGGGGAGGGTTTTGCTTTAGGTATGAGTACAGTAAAATGTTGACCAAAAAAATCAGAGAGCTTTTTTTTTTTTTTTTTTTGGCACCGATTTCATCCGCAGCACTTTTATTTATGCAAAGCTGG